CTAAACTGATAGCAACATCACGTGTTCTATACCCCGCGGTGCTACTACTGTTACACGGGGCCAGCAGGTGGGCCCCACTTAGCAGCAGCAGGTGTCGGTGTCAAAACCGGCAGATCTCGGGTAGGGGATCCCAAACTATGGATCTTGGATCGATGGGGAACAAGGGACGTGGGACACGATATTTACCCAGGTTCTGGACCTCTCTAAGAGGTAATACCCTACGTCTTGTTTGATTATATTGCTTCTGTATATGGGGATTACAGAGTTGATCTACCACGAGATCGAATGAGCTAAAACCCTAACTAGTAGGATGGCGATTATTCTCCTGGCCTCAATGGATTAAACCCCCTGGTTTATATAGACACCAAGGGTATTAGGGTTTACAGGTAGTCGGTTACATCAAGGAAACACCGGATCTTCCATCTTGACTTGGGGTACACACCAAGGCACAAAAGGTCTTCGGTTTGGATTCATTGCGGCCCACCAGTCCGGCCCATGTGAGATAGGCCGGCATCCCGAGGACCCCATAGTCCAGGGCTCCCTCAGTGGGGGTTATACGCACGCGCTACAGCTACTGCGTTAAGTAGGAGCGGGGGCCCTTGCACCACGCTGCTGCTAAGCAAGCCTTATCCCCTCTATGCCACCCATTCCTCACTCTCTCACCGTCGTGACCGTCCTCGTCCCGCTATCGCTGCATTGCCGCCATCCCCGGCCTCGGTAATCCTCCCCCATCCTCCTCCTCCTCCTCCTCCATCCTCCAGCTGCCGCCCTCGTCCCTCCTCCTCCTCTCTCGTCTATCCGCCGCCCCTCCTCCCTCCTCCTCCTCCCTCCTCCATACGCCGCCCCTCCTCCCTCCTCCATCCACGGCCCCTCCTCCCTACTACATTTTGAATTAGTAGGGTTTAGTTGATATGTAACAATTTGTTAGTTAATAGTTTCTAGTTGATATATAACACTTATTTTGTATGGTTAACCGAAGTAGTACAAAATTAGACAGAGTTAATAGTTTCTACTTGATATATAACACTTTGGTTTAGGATAGCTTCTAGGGTTTAGTTGATAGTTTCTAGTTAACTGTTTTAGTAAAAAATAGATAGAGTTAAAATTTATTATACCTTTAGTTAGGAAACGTAGTAGAAAACAAAAATTTCACACCTACGATTACCCAAGATCAATATGAAGTTGCATTATGGGTTGGGATCACGATCGTTATCGACATCGAGTTATAGCATAAGCAGAACGTGTTGGTGTAGATCTTTACTTGGAGTCCCTCGAACCGTTGATGAACGATCCCTCGTACTGCCTACAAACAGTCCCTCGAACCGAAGACCAAAAGCACAGCCTCTCTACTTGGTTGCAAGCGTGCAACCTCCATGATTTGGCAGCGCTTCGCCGTCTAGAGCTAATCATTCTCGGAGAATTAGAGGGGGGGATATTAGAACCACAATGGGCTTCTAATTATGAGACCAAGAGGATTAGGCATGCTCTAATTAGTCAATGAGGATCAACTAAAACATGAACTAGAAGAACTAGAGGAGGCTCCAAAACTATGTATGCAATAGAGCAAAAAACCTAATATATAGGTTGGAGGAGGAGGAGGAGAGGGCAACCACCAAGGGGGCGTCCCCTTTGGGGCGCCGGCCATGGGGAGGGAGGGACACCCTCCCCTTGTCCAATCCCCCCCCCCTCCACCCACCCACACACACAAGGAAAGGGGGCGCCTTCCCTACTTGGGCCCTTGTGGCCCAAGTTGCCTTACACCTCTTGGCCTTTTAAGGCCCATTGATATATAAATTAAATTTAAATGTTCTAAATGCCTCTAGATCATTTTCTATATATTTTAACATCCCCGGAAACATTTTCCACCTATATCATGAGAATAT